TTGAAAGAGTAACGATCCGCAGCTGCTATAATATTTAAAACCTGGTCTACAATTGCGTAGTTATACATGGCTGTAGCTGTAAAAATTCATCAATCATTGCCAAATACGAGAAGAATATTCGACTGTGATTGATCAATCTTCTTACAACTACAACCACTTACAACTACGCTTACGTAATTGTAAAGTAGGCTTAAGCGTTTAATTATTATTGCTGTTATAACATATGTTCAGTTTGACTTTTTAATCTTGAAAAAAATGTTAGAATTTAAATATTTCGATTTAATAATTTTAGAACTTTATCATTATACTCTTATCGCGGATTTCAACAGTGCTCGAACAAATGCGTATGGACGGATGTACATTTATATGATCGCAAATCTCGGAAATTTCAATTGATATCATTTTCTCTCGTTTGATTCACGGACAAAACCGGATATCATAACAGGAGAAGTTTTGAAAACAGTCCGAGACCTCTGGTCGAACGACCATTTGAGATGCACGTGTTTTTAAAATCTTCAGCGGCGGACGTTCTGGAATCCGAATAACACTCTTAATCACCGATAAACGTTGCCGTCGCTTCCACAAACTGGTTCCTCGGGTACTTCAGAACAGTCTTCAGGGCAGTGTTCGATCTCTTTCAAGGTCGTGCACTCGCCAACATGAGCTGATTGAATGCCCTTTCTAAAACGTATTAAGTATCGGCAAATTAATTTGTCTCGTTGATGACTTGTAGTTTCTAGAGTTCACAATAGAATATTTGCCACATTCGACGTGAGGATAAAATTACCAATATTTTTCTGACATAAATGTAAACTTACAAGCAAATCGCTACGTTCAAATGGCACTGATTTGGATAGGTATTTGCATCACTACCGCAAACCGGATCTACTTCGCTTCCGCATCTCTGCTGTTGCTTCATGCATTTCGTTAGCCGGGATCGACACTTCTCAAAGTCTACTACCGTTACTTTTCTTCTTGCATGCCTGTTGATTAACATTTGGCTAAAGACTCACGTCGACCAGTTATTCATATAACAAGAAAGTAAATAAATTGAATTTTTTGAGTGTCTTTGACAAGTTCGATTATTTGTTTTTCACTGCATCAATTTAATGACACTTAAATATATTTATAATTCATATATCTCTCTTCCTTATATCAAAAGTGTACTTTTAACTTAATAATAAATCATAACAACTTAATCATAACAACAACATAAAAAAGAGTAATTTTTAAAAAGTTATCAAAATTATTACAATTCAAAAAAGTTATTAAAAAAAATCATTAAAAAAATCATTAAAAAATTGTTAATTCACAAGTCAAAAAGAAGTTTTTTTAAAGAGTAATTTTTTTAAGAATTATGAAACAAAGATGATAATTGAAAATTTGTCCTCTTTTCTGAAAAATTTGTAGCGAATTTAATTGAACGCACTCAGTGTGCACTGATGAATATTAAAGCCGTCGTACACAAATTATCATAAAGATGTATGTTTAATATAAATATGAAAATAGGTTAAATCACATGAAATCATTAATAGATTTTATTGTGCTGTTAAGTAAAATATGGGTTCTATGATTCGAAATATTTTTTTATTTGTACACTTAGATTTAATCTGTATATAACGGCTTTTAATATGCACCAGTACATGCTAGTGCATACAATTTAATTCGCTATTAATTTTTTGAGTTGTGTCACTTTTAAAGTCAATTAGGGAGTGATATAGTAGATCTATACAATACAAATACACACCCGCAGTTTAGCATTTGCATCTCGCACTCGTTTCTGTATATATTTCCGTCCGATCCGCAAACCGATACTTCCTGCTCATTTTTGCAATCCAAGGGACACGCGTTGCTTCCGGATGTCCGTTCTCGAGATACGCAGAACGACATCGGTACTTCAAAGACGTGCTTGCTGAAAGGCACAATCCAATAAGTATTGTTGGGCTTAATGAAATTTTTGTATTGAATAAAATCGCGACGAAGTTTGCATGCTAAAACGTAATTAGATTAAAAATTCATCAATTAATTGTTCAAATAAAAATTCAAATATTGAGAAATGTTAGGCCGAACGAGTTGCTTCGCGTTCTAACAAATCTAATATTTATACAATCCCGGTGAAAAGAGAGAGAAGGATGAGTTAGCTCGAGTGTTCTTTAAATTAGGCAAAGGGTTATAACGAAGAGCACAGAGGAATGATTCATGAATAATTAAGTGCGTATGGGGAACAACACTGAGATGAAAGAAGCAAAGGAAAAAGGGTGGAGCTTATGAAAGTTTTTTAGAAGATTCTGCGTGATCCCAGTCATACATTGAATTCGTTGAGGATTTGCTGCTTACCCGCAATTTTTCGCCCGCATTTTGCAGGTGTTCGAGTACAAAATGCCGTCGCTACCGCAGGCAGGCTTGGCACCACGCCAGCACGATTCACGACAATGTCTTGTGGTCTGACAGTGCTTCTTATTTGTACGCACGACGCCTTGGCTGCGAACCGGAAAAATTAAAATCGTTTTGCGGCCAGACTAGTTTTATGTTAAATTTAAAGAATAGACTCTTTTACGTTTTACGATGAGGAATGACTGCAACAGCGTCTATTGTGAATTACAGTTTTTATAAAGAAATTTTTTTCTATGCAAAAAAATGGAAGAAATAATAGATGAGGTGTAACCATAAATAATCATAAATAGAGATCTGACTTTATCGCGCAAAAAAGAAATAATTTTGAAGTTCAGACAAAATACGAAAGACTGCAGAGACTAAGCATGATTTTCGTAGGTTTAAAAATTTCCGATCCACGTGATTCTGTCGTTCGTAACCGTAATTGAGGTCAATCTTCAACGTACCCGCAAGTGAGCAGCTTCATCTGACACGTAGACTTGTAAACGTTTCCATCGCTTCCGCAAACCGGTCCGTCGAGCGGCGCGTAATCGCACGAGACTGGACAGTTCTCCCTGTGAGCCGAAATATTATTGCAGGGCCCAAGATGAGACAGCTCGATTCCGACTCGGCAGATTTCTACCCTGAGCATACACTTGTTCTGATAGGTACGCCCATCAGTGCCGCATACCGGATCTTGATCGCCCGGACAACGATGCTCGCACTTGCTACCGGATGACCTCAGGCAAGCCGTCTTCTCCGTGGCCACGGTAATGCCTAAATAAGCGTATGACAGCGAAATAATGAGATACGTAGATAAATTTTGCGCGGTCATTAAGCGAAACGAGTCTTCGCATATATACACATGACCTCGTCGTCTACGACGAATAAATAATCTAATACTCTGGCGCGTAAATAGTTCGTTTCGATGCTCCAGGAAATCGCGATTCGTTTTGCAACTACGTATAATTTATCACGGCCATCTATTATACAAATGAACGGATCCTCGTTACCATAAGCTGTTATCGCGGGTAGAAAAAGAATACGAATAGAAATCTCTTTATCTCATTTACGTGAAGCACGATAATATCGCATGAAGATCGGCGAATGAAGGTCGCATTATTTCCGCAATTGTAATTGAAGTGCGCGCCCGCCGTGGTTATATTTCTCGATAAACCGCTACTAATAGGCCTACGCGTTTATTCTTACGGTCAGTTAATATACAAAACGGGATAACGAAATCATACAGAGTTACTACGATATACCGAGCGAACAGCGTTTCGGAGAAGGAAAAGAAAACTGTAATCTCGCGGCGAGCGAACTAGAGCGCGTGTGTTACTGTAATAACTAATAACTATTATAATTAAAAGCGCGCCTTACCCTTTCCGCACATCTTCTTCCGCATTTCACACTGCGACGCGTATATGACACCGTCGCTACCGCAAACGGGTTCGCCACTAGGCGGACATATCCTGGGACATGCACTGGACACGTAATCTGCGTGAAAAAAAAAAGAAGTTTTATTGACGTACAAGATAGTATAAATTTGTCAACATAAGTGCAATGTAATTTAAAGTAGCACCTTAAAAGATGAGGCATCAGCAATAGTATTGTTTACGAAGCTAGATCTTAATATAATTGAAATAATAAATAGAATAGAGAGAAGAATCATACGATAGTGAGTAAAAATTTTGCATTTACAACGTGCGACGAAAATATGGAATTAAAAACGAGAAACGATATAAAGAGGCCCCAACAACACAAATAATATTGCAAGTTTTGTGCTATTGGGGGAAGCAGCTGTTCTCAAAGTAGAGAACCAAATGTTACTAAATAAGAAGAAATATATGATTGTAATATAAAAGAAATTATGCCGATATTAATAAGGAGAATATATGTACAATATCGATTTACACACTTAAAGCGCGGTTGTAGTAATATTAATCAAATTGTAATCAAAGATAATTGTATCTTAATAGCATCTCATCGCCATCGTGGAACAATCATGAAATGTACGATATTTTATGCTAAATTGTACGCTTTTCTGCTTACTTAATAGACTGTATTTTAACGAGTATGTTTGTGTACTGTTAAAAAAGCAAAGTTTAAGCGTCAACGGTATTCTGATTAAAAAAGAAGAAAAAAGAGAGAGAAAAAAGTGTAATATTTACTGTTAGATGCTTCGTTTTGTTATGCACGATATAACCTAACCTTGCACTATAACATACCTCACGTATTAAGAGAGTACCTATTATTGTAACGACATAATTGTATTTAATAATCATAATGATTAATATTAATATATTTAATAATCTTAATAATCATAATGTTTAAGCATACATGTAACGTGGTCGGCACCAGTGATGAGAATTTAGCCCCGCGCAACACAAAGAATCAGCCCCTCCATTTTTGTTCTACCAATTGACGCTGTGTTCGGCTAGTACAGAGTGGCGGTAATTTGTGGAGCAAAAGTGGAGGGGCTGATTCTTTGTGTTGCGCGGGGCTAAATTCTCATCACTATTCGGCACAGGGAAGAAGCAGAGTTAGCAAAAAATAAATACCTGCCTAAATGGAGGAAGTGTGGGTGCTTACCCATGATGTAATCGGAAAACGAAATCTCGGAAAAATCATACGACCAATTATTAGTTTATACAATATGTTAAACTTAAATGATTCTCATTTTGTCTTTATTTGAATGTATTATTAAAAAAGATTCTTATTGGTCGTATATGACTTTTCCGAGATTTCGACTGTCATGACCAGAATTAACCTGAGTCCATGATTTAACTATAGTATAATACGGAATACACACAACTATACATCTCTCAATGAGGGATCCTCACATTCTGACGAAAGGGTCACTCAAATATCTTACTGCAATCTATTGAACATAGGAACTCCATTAAATAACGCGGAAGAGTGCTTGCGGAGGGGAGGGGGACGGGGGGGGGGCAGAAACGTTTAATACGCGATATATCGGATAAGATCAACAATCGCATAGCGATCCGATCGCGACGTGAGGCTTATGAAATGCATCACCCGGCGTGCCTAAGGTATACGCACGCATTTCTAAATTTTAAAAAATGTTTTAAACGATCTCGAGAGTGAGAAGAATATTTATCGCGTGCAAACACGTGTAAAAATTATTTCGTAACGATCTCGCTACATGTCGAACGCTTTTTGATTATGAAATTTTATGATTAAAAGTCACAAAGGCAAAACTGAAGTTATGTATGGGGTAAATTTGGGTAAGAGATGACTATCTTTAAAATGCAAAAAAAACTTTAATTTTTGTTATCTTTAATAATGTTATTATGGTATATCTTTTTTGCCATACGGAAAAGATATATCAATATAATACTACTATATTTTTTTTTTTAATTTAAAAAATAGTCATCTTTATCTTAGTAACTAATTAAGACGCCTAAAAAACGTAGAAATAAAATCGAGCGGTATCGCTATTTTTTTTTAATGAGAAATAAAAGCTGCCATCCCAGCCAGAAACATAATGGAATCAATGTCGATTCGACATCAATTTGATGAATTCGAGATTGAATCAACGTTGATTCGATGTCAATTTGATAATTTCGACGTTGAATCGACGTCAATTCCATCATTTCTGACTGGGTGTACACATTGTCTCTTTCGCAGTGTTATAATAGGCGAGGGTGCGAAGCGGTATACTCGTATTAAATCATTATTGGAGTATTCTACATGAGCAAAAATACGTGGGCCGTATAGAGGTAATATTTAAGATCGCGTGGTGAGAGAAACGATAAGAAGATTAGGGGGAGGAAGAGAGAGAGAGAGAGAGAGGGGGGGGAGGGAGGAAGTAAGGGAGAGAGAGAGATGTAACGTAATTTCCCGACTATCTCTCGTCGTCGCTCTTTTTGGCCGTAGCGTCTATCCGCAAAGAGATTCTCTGTCGAAACCTTAATTACTTCCGGTTGACCGTCCGAGGCAGATATCTACTGCTTGCAGATCCGCGCTAACCGTCGGTCTCGGTCCAGCGAACGTCGGGTCAACAGCACACGGGATTTACGGCACTCGTTCCATACCGGATCGCATAATATATAACAAATTATAAAATCGAGCTTTACAGTTAGAGATGTACCGGGCGTCCGAAGGCGCGGTTGTCAATTTCATCGTGTATAGGGGAAATGCATCGAGACGAGTTTATTATGCATTATGATCCTCCGGTGGAAAGTGCGATGGGTTTTTTTTTTTAAGTATTATTTATTAATCTCACAAGTTACACTGTAATCAATCAACAATAATCCGGTGTCAGCCCTGTTCTTTCCACTTAAAAGAATGTTTGCACTAAATTTACACGAAAACTGGTACTTCGGCGAAGGGAAGTGAGAAATGTTTTTTACCGTCCTGCTGTTTTTTCAATTTTTTTTAAGTGTACGTCTCTCCGATAACTGACCAAAACAGGATTCTTTGCATTCCATAGAACATCCCGGCTACGCACAGTGTACGCCATGCGGACAGGCGTAAAAGCAGGTTTATAAGCAACTGTATAATTACGCTGATTACAATTTATCGATCAGTCTGGTACTTGCGTCACCGTATACAGGATGATTTCGCACTAGTTAATGAGATATTAGAAAGTTTTTGCAATAACGTGAATCCAGATACGGTTAATGCTAAAGTCACGTTATCCTTTTCTTAAGTAGTTGTTAAGAAGAAAATAACCTGACCTTAGCGTTCACTGTATCTGGATAAACGGTATTGCAAAAACTCCCTATTAATTTTTAAAAATTGCCGAATAAGTGGGTAAACTCGACGCATAAGACAATTTTAAAATATTTTTCTGTGTTCTTTTTAAAGTATCTTCAAAATGAATTCTTAAAAATTTCTTAAAATTGTCTTATGCGATTTTAGACATTGGGTAACTGAATAAATTATGAAGATTGCAAAATTTAATTTTAGGCTCAGTTTTTGATCGGAAATATATATGGTTTGTAGACGTTTTTTAAATTACATCTTGTATAATAACATTTCATGATGCCTAAATTGATTTCGTCGCAAGTATCATGAATAGATTTTGAAAGATGTCTCTCTCAAAGAAGTTGAAAGTGTTGTTCTATGGGTTTACAGACGTTCTTTCGATTGTGCTCGATGGAATCAATCGCATTGCATCGTTCTGTAACCCACTCCACTACTCGTCTTTTTAGTTGTGCCACTTGATGCGCTGTGCTTATCTCCCTTCATCATTTTTACTATACTCTACACGAGATAGAATAATAATTAGAAAGAAACGGATTTCCATTACGAGATATTTCACACGCGTAATAAACTTTCAAACGACGTTACATTCCTCATATACACTTACGGAATGATTCTCAGTGCGATAATTGCTTTAATCGCTTACATGCTTTATACGAGTATTTACTCTCTTCCTTTGCAATAGTCGTCCTATTGGATGGCGCTACAATCTTTTCAAAAGAAGATTACAATTATATTCGAATGATTTGAACAATTACTCGAGATAATTTCTAACGGTGAGTGTAAGTAAATATTAGAAATACTAACATTTCGTTATTCGTTTTATCAACAAGCGAGACTGTTTTAATTAATTAGCGTGTTGTTTCATAAGATGCTGAATGCAATCAACAATTTTCGCACATTAATTAATCATGAGTTGATCTGAAACTAAATATTATTTTCCGTGATACATATAAATAAAATAAATATATGTAGTATATAAGACAATCAAAATAATCAAATATAAATTTAAAAAGTGGAAAAAATATATCTAGAAGAATAGTTTTGCTGAAGTATTTAAAAATTTAACTAAATATGCACACCGATGCAAAAATAATTTTGTTAAACTATTAAAATAATTATGTAGAACAAGTATGATGAGTAATGTTGTAAAAAATTTATATTTTGAGCGTCTTACATAATTATTTTGATGTTTTAACAAAATTATCTTCAGATTTGTATCTAAATAAATTTTTTAGATACTGCTTAGATAAAACTGTTCTTTCCGGTTATTCTGTGCAGTATTAAGAAGATCCTAAAGTGAAGCCCGAACTCCGATGAGATCGCTATTTTATCGATAAAATGCAGCACATAGACATATTTTTTTTATATGCTACTACATTAATATTGCACTCACACATACGTACAAATTTTGTAACTAACTAATCTTTCGTATTAAGTTTCTAAACCTAATTCTAAGTACTCATCATGGATTGTTCATATAATCTCTAGTTCAAACCAAGATTGTTTTATACGTAGGAAATATAAAACTCGTATATAAACCAAATATTATTACGAATCGACGTTAAAAGTCGATAATAAAACTTACAAAACTGTAATTTTCCAATTTTTTTTTCGTTTTTGGCATAAAGTCAACTGGTTTGAATTGCGTTTATACTTTAATTATAGAAGGATATTTTAATCTATAAAGGCAGTTAGAAAAATACTATTTGGAAAAATTGATAAAAAAAATTCATTTTGGGATCCCTTTAAATAGTCGCGCCTTA